AGGCCGCGGGTGAAGAAGAAAATCCGTACCCGCTCGGCCCGGAGCGAGGAGGTGCCTCAGAACAAGGAGGTGCCTCAGAACAAGGAGGTGCCTCGGAGCGAGGAGGTGACCCCGAGAACGGAGGTGGCTCGGAGCGAGGAGGCGCCTCGCAGCGAGGAAATGGCGGCAGCCGGGCTCAGCGTGACCGTCACCCACAGTGAGCGCCTGGCGGCCGGGTGGGCTCTGTGCCGGGCTCCTAAGGTCTGGCGGTTTCTGTGGGTTTAGCCACGTGTCCTCCGGAAGCATGTGCCCCTGTGTTAGTCCTGGCGTTCGAGAGTGTGGGTTCTTGGCCGTGTCCGTCCAGCGTGGAGCAGCGTTTGTCCATGGCTTGAGCTAGTACGTCTTAGTGTGTTTTGTCTCTGGCCGTGTGTTTAATCGTTGGTGTTTGAGCGTGTCGTGGCTTCACGTCTTGGGCATACTTGTATTTGTGTGTCCACACAGCTATTGCAGGTCTTTGCGTCAAGCTTGTATTTGGCCATGTTCTTTCTGACTGCTGAATGTCTGGACACCTGCCAGGTGTGAGGAGTCTGAACATCATGGTTGGAGAGCTGTTCATTATTTGAGTGCCTTCTCTGTGTGGATGAGGAATATGTTTGAGTAGACTTTGGGGTCCAAACATTATACTCTGGGTCAGCCTACTTGTTGGAGTTGACAGAACTAAATAAGTCAGTGCGTCAGAGAGCAGACAAGAGGTTCCTAAGAATGAGCTAGGGGAGACTCCAGGACCTTGGAATTTGGAGACCAGGATTCTGGCTCCTGCAGCTTTGGGTGACCTTGGCATGGATGTCTCCTTTCTAGACATCTAATTTCTCTGAAGTAGAGTTGATAACCCCTTCCTCCCTCTGACCTCATGGGGCTGTTGGTGGAGCTCAGGGGTTGGTGTAATTGGCTAGATAGGCTAGATATAGGTTACCTCTTACAGTCCACATGCCTGGAAAAGAAATGGCACCTCTGCTTTAAAAAGAAATTCTTAAAAAAAAAAAAAAATTCTTGGACCAGCAGGCAGCATGATGGTTAAGGCAGCTGGATCCTACATGCCCAACTGTGCAGTTTGAGTCCTAAGACCCACTGGCTTGAAAAACACGCAGATGCTTGTGCATGTGTGTACAAAAATCCTGAGAGGAGAATGGAGAAGAGATTATATGTGTCCATCCTCCATGGGGGAATGATTTCTTACTCTCCATCCCTCTCTCCGGTGAGCACATATACCATATGGCAAAGTAGAAAAAGGAAAAGAAAAATTCTCTGCCGTTTGACTGTATTCATTCATTTGTCTTATTTACTGAGCACCAAGTGTACATATAACCAGGTATGCCCAGTGGAAGAGACTTGGAAGAAACAATCCTTTGTCCATTGCAGGAAGGGAGACAGACCAGGACTGTACAGAGTTCAGGGTAGTCAGCCCGCAGGAGGCAAGTAGAAGTGATGGAAAGCATGGGCCTTGGAATCAACTAGATGTGAGGTCAAGGTATGACTCCATCAGTTGGGTTTCCTAGCTGGTTGTTAACTGGACTGAACTCACTGTTTGCTTATCTGTGAAATAGGAAATAATAGGTAGTACTTCATGACGTTGTACTAAGGATTGAATACGATAATGTATGAAATAAACAGTACAGCCCTTTATACATGATAACTACTTAAAATTTTAGCTGATATCATTAATATTGTTATTATCACAGAAGAAACAGAAATCCTTAAGCAGGTCACCAGAGGAAAGCTAGGCAGATGAGGGCAGCCTTATTGGACTAGGTGGCATAGGAGCTGGGCCTTGAAATTAGAGTAAATAAAGTGTAATGAACACCAGCTAATGGGCCAGCAGATGGCATGGAGGTTAAGGTGGCTGGATCCCACATGGCCGAGTGCACCGCTGGAGCTCTAGATCCACCGGGCATATGTGCATGCATGCCCAAAATCCCAAGAGGAGAATAGATGAGAAGGGATTGCAGCATGACCATCTCCCCCTGGAGGATACTTTCACACATTCTCTGTCTGTCTCTCTGGGGAACCTTTATGCTCTATAGTAAAAATAAATAAATAAATGTGTGGCTGGTTCTTTTAAAGAGGGGGGCAGCTTATTTTTATATATATGAGTCATCTTTGTTGAACACTTTCTTTCTCCTCAGGCAATGAGAAACATGACCTTCATGTTACTCCAAAGCAGGGCAACAGTGAACCAATTGTCCAAGACCTGGCCCAGGTTGTTGAAGAAGTCACAGGGGTTCCACTGCCTTTTCAGAAACTCATATTTAAGGGTAGGTATTTCTCTTCTAAGTTTGAATCCTATGGCTAAAAGATAAATTTAAAACTCTGTAACCTGCCTTTTGCTTCGTTGCCCTGCTGAAAGCAGGATGGGTCATCAGCAGCTCTACTGGAGCCACCCACGAAAAGAGCTCTCGCTCTTGCCACGTGTGCTCAAACCCCCACGGTCTGATCCGGAAATACGGCCTCAACATGTGCCGTCAGTGTTTCCATCAGTACGTGAAGGACATAGGCTTCATCAAGTTGGACTATATGATCTTACTTGAATGGATTGTCCAAGATATAAACCCAGTGAAAGAAATCATGCTGGCTATTTGTATGTAAAATAAAAATAAAACCCTTCAATTAAAAAAAAAAAAAACTCCATAATCTAACCTAATGACAGCTTTGTTTTCAAGCTGAAACCATTTTTATGTGTTCATTTCTTTAGCAGCTTGTTTTTTAGTTGGGACTATAGGTTGTATGCACTCACCAGAGATATGCAAAGAAAGGGAAAGTGAGAATCACCTCCTTGGGATGATGGCAACACCATAATCCCTTCTCCATTCTTCTCTTGGGATTTTGGGCATGCACAAAGCCGCCAGGTACAGGGCTTGAACCACATGCTTGGCCATGTGGGATCCAGCCACCTTAACCCCTACATTACCTGGCTGATGCCAACAGTGGTTTTTGTTTTTGTTTTTTAGAGATTTTTCCCTTAGGGTACTTGCAGTCACTGGAGAGAAAGACAGAGGCAGTAAGAAGGAAAGTGAGAAATCACCCCCCAGGGGGATGGCCACTCTATAATCCCTTCTCCTCCATTTTCCTCCCAGGATCTTAGGCACACACTTGGTGTGATTTTTTAAGCCACCAGGTCCAGGACTCAAACTGCAGTCAGCCATGTGGGAGTGACGTAACCGCTATGCCATATGCCGGCCCTAATCCCAATAGTTTTTTTGTTTTTATTTTTAAAGTGGGTGCCAGGGCCGGCAGGGGGCGTGGGGGTTAAGGGCGCTGGACTCCCACGTGGCCGACCGTGGTTCAAGTCCTGGACCTGGTGGCTTGCTTTCTCACTTTCCGTCTCTCTATCTCTCCCTCTCTGGTCAAATTAAAATAAATAAAGTTAAAGTAATTCTAAAAACAAAAGAATTATTTTATTTAACTTTATTTACTTATTTATTTTTAAAATTTAACCAGAGAGGGACACAGAAAGAGAGAGAGAAAGAGAGAAAGTGAGAAAGCAAGCCTCTAGGTCCAGGACTTGAACCATGGTTTGCCATGTGGGAGTCCAGTGCCCCCAGCCATCATGCCACCTGCTGGCCCAAGTCCCAACAGTTTAACTTTCTTCATGAGTGGATAGGCAGATATACAGCACCCTAGGTAGGATCTTAATGGAGCAATCCACTTCCAGCTCAGCCAGCCTGGATCATGGGCTCACATGTAGCCAGTGTACACAGAGAGGTTGCCAGACACAAACTGGCAACTTTCCCATGTGGATCTGCCTCAGAGAGCACCACATTTTACCATTGTGCTACCATCCAGCCCCTACAAATATTTATTGAGGACTTGAACGGGATAGGTATCAGATCTGAAGTCACTTGATGAAGACAGAACTCTCACCATTTTTGAGAATGAGCATGGGCAGTCTTCCTTGTTGAGGTTAGATCCTTTCCTCAAGTAGGTGCACATGGCACTCCCTACTAGTTTTGCATAACTTACATGGAAGTCACCGTTAAATAATTGTTTGCTTAGTTGTTTTAACAATCTTATTTCCCTCTTAGAATAACAAGCTCCATGAGGGTAGAGATACTGCCATGTTTCCAGTGCTTGGTATTATGCTGACTTAGAGAGGGTTTAGAACAAACGTACTAGGGGCCTGAATATGACAGGACCAATAGATGATGCTGTTCTGCTAGGACCCACTAAATACCCATGTCTTCCTATTCTAATGGGAACCCATTATTCTGGCATCTGATGAAAGCAGATTTATCTCAGTGGTACCAGTCATTATAAAGAATTTAGTGGGCCAGCAGGTGGCATGGTGGTTAGGGGTGCTGGATTCCCACATGGCCAACTACAGTTTGAGTCCTGTACCCAGCAGCTTGCCTTCTCGCTTTCCCTCTTTCTCTGGTCAAATTAAAATAATAGTAATAGTAAATAAATAAAATTGGGGATCAGCAGGTAGCGTGGTGGCTAAGGCGCTGGACACTCCCACTTGGCTGACCACAGTTTGAGTCCTGGACCTGGTAGCTTACTTTCTCACTTTCTTTCTCTCTCTGATCAAATTAAAATAAATGAATGAATAAATAAAATGAAATAAATAATTCTAAAAATTAATTAATTAATTTAATTAGATGAAAAAAATTATTTAAAAAATAAAATAATTCAGTAATAGGGGACCAAATGGTGGCACAGCAGTAAAATGCGATGCACTAAGAGGCAGTTCCATGTGGAAGAGTTCCCATTTGAGGACTAGAGACCCTGTTGAGTATACCCAGCACATACTTGCCAGTGATCTGGGCTGCCCGAAGGGTGAGGGTAGGTTGTGGTTTCGAGACCTTGTTTGCAATGCTTTTTCTTTCTGTCTCTCTCAGTCATGAAAGAAATAAGTAAAGAAAGGAAGAAAGAAAGAACTTAGTAATAGGAATTATTTTTATTTGTGTTTCATAGTGCAACTCTATCTTTTGCTTTGTTTTTCTATTTTTGGGAGAGGTTTTTGCTATAGAGCATGTGCACTCGCCAGAAAGACAGAGAGAGACAGAAATAGAAAGTGATAAATTACCCCCAGGGGGAATGGCCACACCGCAGTCCCTTCTCTATTCTCCTCTTGGGATCTTGGGCATGCATGCACATGTGCCTGGCATGAGTTTAACCCACCGGGTCCAGGACTCGAACTGTGGTTGACTACATAGGAATCCAGTGACATATGCTGGTCCCAGAAGGAAAGGGGGGGATGGCCATGCCACAATCTCTTCTCCATTTTCCTTTCAGGATTTTGGGCATTCATGCACACACTCCCAGCATGTATTTCTTTCTTTTATTTTTTTAAAGAATTATTTTATTTAACTTTATTTATTTAAATTTGACCAGAGAGGAACAGAGCTAGGACTTGAACTGCGATCGACCATGTGGTAGTCCAGTACCCTTAACCACCAGGCCACCTGCCGGCCCATTTTGCTTTGTTTTTCTTTCTCTTTTTTTTAAAGGTTTTTGCTGTAGGTTGCATGTGCTCACCAGAAAGAAACAGAGAGACAGAAAGCGAGAAATCACCCATCGCGGGGATGGCCACGCTGCAATCTCTTCTCCTCCATTTTCTTCTTGGGATCTTGGGCACGCATGCACACGCACTTGGTGTGAGTTTAAGCCACCGGGTCCAGAACTCCAATTGCAGTTGCTTACATAGGAGTCCAGCGACATAGCCATTACACCAACCACTGGTCCCTTGCTTTGTTTTTCTAAAAGAGAGAGAGGCTGACAACAGTGACTTGTGCCTATTCAAGACCAACCTGGACAGCACAGTGATTTTTTTTTTTTTTTTTAAGAATTATTGGGGACCAGCAGGTGGCATGGTGGTTAAAGTGTTGGATACTCCTAAAGAATTATTTAATTTTACTCATTATTATTATTATTATTATTATTATTTAATTTGGTATAGTGCAATGTCTGCTCACCAGAGAGAGAAAGAGAAAGTGAAAGAGCAACCTGCTTGGTCTGGGACTTGAACTGCAGTATGCCATGTGGGGGTTTAGCGCCTTAACCACTATGCGACCTTCTGACCCCAAGAGACCCTATCTCTTAAAAAGAGATATAGAGATTTTTGACAGGTTCTCACCATATCACAATTCTGACACAGCCTCCCAATTAGTTAGGATTACAGGTATGCAACTCTAAGTTCAGTCTGTTTAGGTTGCTCTGGGAACCAAACCCATGCCTTCCATGTGTCCCCTGCCTTGCACAGCAGTGCCCTGTCATTTGTGCCACCCTACCACTCACAGCACTGCAGCTGGGCTTATTTTTATTTTTGAAACAGTTTATTGTGGGGCCAACCCTGTAGCATAGTCTTTAAGTGATTTACATAGAAAGCCAGATATCCTGCATGGTCCACTGCAGTTTAAATCCCAACTCCAGTGACTTAGAAAAAAACATGCCAAGCACATGAGTGTATTCCCAAAATTCTGACAGGAAGGAGAAATGGAGGAAAAAGGATTGTGGTGTAATCATGCCCCATTGGGGAGGTGCTTTCTCTCTGGCAAATGTATGAGCTCTCTGACAGTGACAAAAAAACACAGATTGGGACCAGCAGATGATATACTGTTTACGTCATTGGACTCCCACGTAGTCGACCGTGGTTCAAGTCTCAGACTCAGTGGCTTAAACTCATGCCGGGTGCATATGCATGTGTGCCCAAAATCCTGAGAGGAGAATGGAAGAGAAGGAATTGTGGCCTGGACATCCTCCTGGGGAGAGATTTCTCGCTTTCTATTTCTCTCTGTCTTTCAGGTGAATGTACATGACCTATAGCAAAAACCTCTTAAGGAAAAAAAACCACACATGGACACAAAACAATTTTTTAGAGATTTTTGCCTTAGCTCATGTGTGCTTATTGGGGGGAGAGAGAGAGAGAGACACAGACAGTGAGTTGGAAAGTGAGAAACAACTCCCCAGGGAGGATGACTACATTGCAATCCCTTCTCCATTCTCCTCCTGAGATCATGTGCATGCATGCACACACGCCCGGCGTGAGTTTCAAGCCACCAAGTCTGGGACTTGAACCACAGTTGTTATGTGGGAATCCATCAATGTAACCACTATGCCATCTGCTGGCCCTGACAGAAAACATTTTATAAAGACAGTAGAAATTCTTCTTTTATTTTTGAATTTTTAAAAATTACTCTGCTATTATTTTTATTTTTTGAATTTGATCAAAGAGGGAGAGAGATGGGGGGGGGGGAGTGAGAAGGCAATCTGCTAGGTCCAGGACTTGAGCCACAGTTGGCCATTTGGAAGCCCAGTGCCTTAGCCACACACACCACTTGCTGGCCCCAAAGTTCTTGTTTTAAAGTAAAAAACAAGGAAGAAAATGTTCCTCTGGATAAAAACCTCGTAACATTTTATAACTTTTTTTTTTAAAGGTTTTTGCTATAGGGTGGATGTGCTTGCTAGAGAGAGTCAGAGACTGTGAGAGAAAAGATGGGAAATCTCCCCCGTCCCAGGCATTGACCATGCTGTAATCCCTTCTCCGTTCTCCTGAAATTTTGATCATGCATGCATGCCTGGCATGAGTTTCAAGCTGCTGGGTTTGGGACTTGAGCTACGATTGGCCATGTGAGAGTCTAGTACCTTAATCGACACGCCACTTGCTAGCCCCTAACTTTTTTCTTATAACACTGGGTTATCAACATTCATTGTGCCATTAAAGTTTCCTTTAAAAAAATGAGCATTAGTACCTACAAAGTTTTTTGTGATACAAATACATAGTTGATCAATCCCTTACTCCTGACTGGCTCTTTCTAGTTTCTCACTTGTATGAATAAGGGTACACTGAATATTACTATATTATTACTACAAAAAAAGGAGTTTTTGTTCAGGTGTCCAGTTATTTGTTTAGGATAAATGTCTAGAAGTAAAATTACTGGATAAAAAAATCTAAAAATGTTACACCAATTTATGCTCTTCTCATTAGTGCACACACTTCTATACTGTATCTCCTAGACTTGTTTGGAAATCTAGTTTCAGGATTGTACAGTTGTTACAGCTTACTTTTCTCCTCTCTTAGGAAAATCTCTGAAGGAAATGGAGACACCATTGTCAGCACTTGGAATAGAAAATGGTTGCCGGGTTATGTTAATTGGGAAAAAGGTAAATCGCTTTTTCCATCAGAATTCCTCAGAGTCAAATGACTGAAACCTTTTGTAAATGTTTCTGTTCAGAAGGCCAAACTGGGACCTAGATTCTGTAAAATGCCTTTCTAAACAAAAGCAGTCTCTGTTTGATACAGTTACATTTTTATTCTTATACTTTTCTGTTGGTTAAGGCTTTCAGTCTAGGAATTCGAGTGGTTGTCATGTCCTGGTGGTAGAATCTCAATTTGGTTAAAATGGTGCCTGAGACTAGCCTTACTCACTTGGAGTAGAATTTGCAAGAGAACTTTTTGTTGAAATAAACCTGTAGAGGGGGCCAGACAGTGGCACAGTGGTAACAAAACGATTCTCTGTGAGGCAACCTCATGGGAAGAAGATTCCCAATTCACCCCCAGAGAACTCCTTGCATATACTGGCCACAGGCTTAACCTTTGATCCTGGCCTGGCTAAAGGCTAGGAGTGGATCACAGGATTAGGATCCTGTTGGGGTAATGTCTTTCTCCCTCTCTTCATGCAATAATTTTTTTTTTTTAATTAAAATAAATATTCTGTGCTGGGGCTGGCAGGTGGCATGGTGGTTAAAGACGCTGGACTCCCACATGGTTGACTGTGGTTTGAGTCTTAGACCTGGTGGCTTGCTTTCTCTCTCTTTCTCTGGTCAAATTTTAAAAAAAATTATAATAATAATAAAATAAAAGTTAAATAAAAATAATTATTAAAAAAGTTAATAAATACTCTATGCTAGCTTTTAGAGCCTTTCCTTTTAATCACAGAGGAAAAAAATGTTGAGAAGACCTTTTTTTATTTTTTTTCCTTTTTTAAAGGATTTTTCCATAGGGCACATGTGCTTGCCAGAGAGAGGCAGAGAGAGGGAAAGTGAGAAATCACACCCCAAGCAGATGGCCATGTCAGATTTTCAAGCCTCCAACTCCTGGACTCAGGCTGTGGTCGGCCATGTCGGAATCTAGCACCTTAACCACAGTGCCACCTGCTGGCCCCCGACCTTTCTTTTAAAGTCT